GAGGCAAAAATGAGTAGAAAATGGCCCATTTTTGCTCATTTTTGCCCCACTCCAGCCCTCAGGAGCACTCTATAAGCCTCCGAAAGGCTATGCATGGCATTTTTTTTGACAAAAATGGGCCCATTTTTGTGAAAAATGGCCATTTTTTCTTGTTTTGGGATGGGAGCCAACTCCCAGGAGCACTCTACAAACCTCCTAAAGGATATGCATGTTATTTCTTTTGACAAAAAACAGGCCCATTTTCGCAGAGTGCAAAAACTTTTTTAAAAAATTTGCCTCTTCAAAATCTTGATGTGTCTTCTACTCCGGTGTGTCTTATATTCCAAAAAATACAGTACTTAAATATTTACAAAATGTGAGGGAGTGTACTCAATTCTGTGATAGATCTATGACTTACATACCTTATTGTTTGTATGCATACTGAGATCTTATGCACAGATTCCTTGCGTGTCTAATTATACTCGGCTGATAAAGAATTCTACTCTACTCTACTCTACTCTACTCTACTCTACTCTACTCTACTCTACTCTACTCTACTCTACTCTACTCTACTCTACTCCTTTCTATTCTATTCTATTCTATTCTATTCTATTCTATTCTACTCCTATTCTATTCAATTCTATTCTATTCTACTCTACTCTACTCTATTCTTCAAGTATTCAAATATGTTGGCAATTTTTAAAAGGACTTTGTTGCCATAGGTGAGATCCTATATTTTGTGGATCTCAATCCTAAGTAATACTATTTGACCCAGCCAGAGTGTCTGCCTATTTTCTTGTCATTGTTGCACAAATCGAGTAATATGAATGCTACTTCTTATAACCATGCTTTAATGGCATGAGAGAATGACTTTGGGAGGGAGGGAAGAAATGCTATGAAGGGAACAATTGGATAAGGGAAGGGGGAGCCCTCCGCTGCATAACAGGAAGAGAAAGTAACTCAGAAATGATCCTCTCTAACTTCTCAGGCTGTAAAAGTGATAGCGATAGAGATTTGTACAAGATTTACAAGATTTGGTTATAGTAGCCTTAGGATAACACAGGAATAGCCATCTGTTCTCTTTCCTATCTGGTCTACCTATGAAAGAGGATGTATGTGAAACCTTGAATAAGCAGAAAGCAAAGTGACTTACTGTGGTAAGGTTCTTGGTTGCTTAACACTGACCACATCAGGATTCCATAACTGAAAAATAAAAGGAAGTAGACTAGATTTTCTGGTGGTCTCCCATGCAAGAATTAATGACATTTGAACCGATATAGCCAATTTAGTTTGTCTATGTGTTCTTTTCTCTACTAGTCAAACTTTAAAAGTAAATGTAAAGGTTCTCATCGCACATATGTGCTAGTTGTTTCAGATTCTAGGGGGCGATGCTCATCTCCATTTCAAAGCTGAAGAGCCAGAGCTGTCCAAAGACGGTGGTCTTTGGACAGCTCTGGCTCATGGTCATGTGGCCAGCATGACTAAACAGTAAAGGCGCACAGAACGCTGTTACCTTCCCATCAAAGGTGGTTCCTATTTTTCTACTTGTATTTTTACATGCCTTCGAACTTCTAGGTTGGCAGAAGCTGGGACAAGTAATGGGAGCTCATTCTGTTACGTGGCACTAGGGATCTGAACCGCCGAACTGACGACATTTCTGATCGACAAGCTCAGCGTCTTAGCCACTGAGCCACAGTGTCCCCTAGTAGAACTTTAGATTCAGCCAAAAGGATGGAAGGAAATAGAATAAATGGGCTTATCATAAAATGAAAAACCTCGAGGTTAGGAAAGCCAGTTTTAGGCAAATAAAATGGAGACTCGGGAATGGGCCTCAGATCCCCAGATTTTCTGCTTTCAAATGGGAATCAAACCCAAACCAACCTTAGCATCAAGGTGTGCACATGGATTTAGCATCCCTTATTGGACCTTTATAGGGACATGGTGGCTCAGTGGCTAAGATGCTGAGCTTGCCGATAAGAAAGATTGGCAGTTCAGTGGTTTGAATCCCTAGTGTCGCATATCGGAGTGAGCTCCCGCTACTTGTCCCAGCTTTTGCCAACCTAGCAGTTCAAAAGTATGTAAAAATACAAGTAGAAATATAGGAACCACCTTTGGTGGGAAGGTAACAGCATTCCGTGCACCTGTCTGTACCCCCTTCCCTGACCGAGTTGTGAGCCGCCCTGAGTCCCCTTCGGGGAAAAGGGCGGCATATAAATGA